CATGTTCTTTTCCATCCCGATAACTGACCCGGAAGGAATACTAAATATGTGCATCGATGGCACTATGTACAGATGGACGGTTTGCCCACAGGGATATCGCAACGCTCCGTCGCTAGCTACTGGTGTCATGAACAACACCCTGAACAATTTTCAAGCCTCACACTCTCTTCCCCCAGAGGAGGAATTGAGAATCTCGAGTTATGTCGATGATATTGCTATCATGGGTCGTGATAGCTCCGTAGTTGCTAGTATAGTCAACCAACTAGTCGCTCACCTTCAAAGTGAGGGATGGACGATCAATGAGGAAAAGTCATGCCTACATCCTGTAGATGACATCACGTTCCTTGGCACCCGATACATCGGTTCCATCCGCCGCGGAATCTCGCATGATGGTCCTAACATCGATCCATTAAAAACATTCCTTCCTGTTACTAAGAGGCACTTTCAACAGCTTTTGGGTCATTTGAATTGGTATCGGCATTATGTTGGACCCAGTGATTTGGCACTCCTCACCAAGTTGCAGCGACAGATTCGTGACAAATCCCGAAAGTCCACACCCTGGACGAAAGGAGAGCGGTGCCACTCTCCTTTCGAAAGAGAGTGGTGTCTCTTTAGAGGCACTGCAGAGTGCCTCTAAAGAGATCTGACTTGTGGCTGAGCTGATCGACAGACTGATCACCTATCGATTCTTCTCCCCGTCGCGGAGCACAATCCTCGACGTACCCTTTCCCCACCGGCTTAATTTATGGACGGATTAGCTGGCCTGAGCCTTGCCAGCTGGAGCAACTCACATAGTTGTTCAAATGACCGGACCGTCTGCGTCGCGGCTACAAGCGGCGTAAGTAAAGTTTTTGCAACCATTGAGCTTTGTCTGCCTCTCCATTCACCAGCCCGCCCAACGAACGAGTAATTTCTAAAACACCTCGAGTCGGCTCCGGCCGGCCGAGACAACCTTCAGCAAAGACAAATCAAGCATCTAGTTCAGGTGTTGCTTTTTCAAAGAATGGTAAATCCTACAAGCTGGATACCTCACAGATCAGGGCGATGAGAGAGGAGAGAAACTGTTCACAGCCCACGTGAGACTTGGTAGTAGGAACAAAGGGAATGAATGGCGGTTCATGAATCTAGATTCAAACATCCTGACATCTGTGGTAGTTACATTTGGGACCTGGAAGCCGGGAGCAGTTTGTACCTGGGCTTTTCTTTATTGGGAATTGAATGAAAGCTACAATCCAAACCCCCGTGACCAAGGATTCGGATCGAGCCGTGAACTTTGTGACTTGTCTCTCTGTTTACCTATTTAATTAGCACACTGCGTATGCATCATTATGGGAGACTCAGTTCCCAGATCAGACTACCGCTTTCTCATTTTCTGTTTAAATCTGGAAAGAAAAAAAAATCTCATAAAATTAGATGATGTCTGGAAAACGAAAACACTTACTGCAGCATTCCGAATGTCCTTTTCCTCCAGGATGATGTTCAGACCTTCATTTGTTCTCACCCTACGGTGATCCTCTGCGCTCTGAATATTTCTGCTTTCTCTGGGTGGTTGGCTTGTTTTGGAAGGGGCAGGTGAATTGGGGTGGGGTGATTTATTGCTGAACACTTCTTTGAAAGCATTAGTGAGAGCCTGACCTGTTTTCTCCGAGGAGTCTACGAGATGAATCTCCTTCAGCGAGCTGTCCCCGACAGACTCTTCCAAGAAGTCCTTGATGGATGTTGCAATTGAATGTACGCACCTTTCTAACGGGAATCCAAAAATTCCCGAGCTGATGGCAGGAATTGCTATGGAGCGATGATTGTAGGTTTCAGCCAATCTTAGACTTTCCTTAACGGCTTTTTTTAACAGGCGCACGCACTTTTCTGCTTCACCCTGCACCCACCTGGGACCAACAGCGTGAACCACCTGTTTGCAAGGGAGTTCCCCAGCCCCTGTAATCACCGCACACCCAGGCTGCAAACGCCCGTGCTGTCTCACAAAGCGGTCGCATTCTGTCTGGAGGTCTGGGCCTGCAGCTGCTAAAAGCGCCCCGGCAAGGCCACCAAGGTGCTTTAAGTCTTCGTTTGATGCATTCACCACAACATCAACAGAATAACTGCACAAGTCGCCTCTACACACTGCCACCGCCACCCCATTTGGCAGGTTTGTTTTCCAAAGGGGCGGTCCTGTCTTAACACTGCCAACCGCACCAGCTTCTTCTTGCTCTCCGTCTTCTTGCAGCCGGATCAAACACTTAAACTTTTGTTTGGCCTCAGTGACATACACATATTCTTTGTCTCTGAAAAATGCCTTGGCCCCTGGTTTATCAATTAACACATCTTTTGCATACAGCGTGGATAGAATTTGTTCAACTACAGCCACCCCTTTCACCACGTCCACTCTTGGTCCGGCCAGGGAAATACTTTTAGGTGAAGACTTTGAGCCAAAATTCAGTGTCACATTTTTCTTCTGTAGGTCAAGCCAAATATTCGAGTTTTCCTTCTCTAGGAACTTTACAACTGCCACAGACTGAGCTTGGATTAGTTTTTCCACTTTTGTGTTTCTATTTACAAAATCAGAAAGTGCCAAATAGACATCTGAGACAGCCTTAGAGTAGCCAATGACAACTACTTGCCCCTCTTTCCCCTCAGGCATCAGGAAATCAACTACAACAGTTTCCCCCGAAGAATTATGTTTCCTACACAAAGAGCTTGTGAGTCTCTTCCATTCTGCTTTTTGGATGACTTCTCTGTCCTCCACAGGAATGCCTTTCCAGTCTAAATCTGTCTTCATTTTCTCTTCTGCTTCTAACAGATTTGCAAGGGAGTCTCCTATTAGCACCACCGTATCATTCGCCAGCTCATAAATGGCATTAATTTTATTTGCCACAAATAAATTCTGCGACAGTGTTTCATTATTTACGTGCTGCAGGAACTGGAAAATCTGAGGGTGAATCCTAATTGGTTTCTGTGCCATATTCTGCACCTTTTCAAGTATGTCACTTTTGACCTTATACACTTCTGCAGCTATTCCACACAGGCTGATTTTCTTTGTTGGAGCGCTGTAAGACATCTTCAGAGATGGGTATTCCTTACAAATACTCGCCTCGAGCTTAGAATTGCACAGAATTGCATACTTCTTTGGGTCAACTGTAATGGTTGTCTCTAAACTCTGCTTTCCTTTTTCCATTTCTTTGATAGCCTTTTCCATACATTCTCTCAGCTCTTTTTCCATACCCTCCACAGTCAACTTGTGGCCTGCTATGACCACCATCTCCTCAGAAATATCAGCGGTGGTCAAAACGCCATCCTTCATTACTTTCTCTTTTATATCTTCCCAAACTACTGAACTTACGTGACACTTAGCAACCTTGTACTGTGACATGATACGTGAGAAAGCAGTGGTAGCATCTTTGTTCCAAGTCGGGATCACCTCAACCATCAATCTTCTTTGTTTGGACAACGCCACTAATGGAGACAACATAATTTCAGGCTGGGCACTTTCGGTTTGGGGCCATTTTAGGTCACAGTGACATCTTGCCATGTCCTGGCTTATGTCCTGGAGTAGTCTGTCAGATTTCTGTAAAAACTGCCAGAGGTAAGGATCCACTGCGATTGTGATTGGTTTTGGCATCTCTACTACAGGTCTGTCCTTCCCATATAAAGCTGTACCCAAAGACCTGTAGTATGGATACACGGAAATTGGTGTTTCATCAAGGAAATGCTGCTTGTCCAACACAGCACTGAGATCTAAAAGTTAAAATATACAAAGAATTTCACTTCAAATAAATTAAGCAGAATTTAACATTCATAGACTAAGAAATAATATGCCTGTGGCTTTAGAAGGGCTATTTTTTTGGCTTTATGCTTCCCTAAACACTGTTTTGGGACTGAAGGAAAGTTCTGTTTGTTTTCTACTATCACCTTGTTCTGATGTATACATTCACGCATACATTCATCTTCACAATTATGCCTTAGGATGATGCCTAACTGACAGATGCACTGAGCACAGTGCCATTTCAAAAGTATGAGTAAATGTTTCTTATTCTCATTAATCAGTCTATGGATATAGCATTCGTCAAAAAGGGGTGTCAATTTTGGGGCACTCTTCTGCAATTTTAAAAATGAAAAATACTGGAGAGAAAAATACAAAGTTAGAATCCAATATCTACATCACCTTGAGCCAAGATGCATATGAATGTGTAACATAATTATACATTTTCAGCAAATACTGAAAGTGTTAGGAGAAAAAAAAATATCAATCCCCTAGCAGAGGCCTTCAATCAAAATAAAAAAAATATTCTGAAAGCCTAAGATTCTTAATATATGAAGTTCTTTAATGGAGGCGGCCCTAATACTATGATGAGGCATTGGTTTCATGACACAAAGGAAAGATTGCTACCTGTCGGGTGTGTCTACATGTGCAATAAATGCGACTGAATAAACTATGGCACAACTTGAGCCAGAGTAAACTAAGCCAGACATCACCATCTACATGTGCATTTAAACCAGGGTGCACAAAATCCAGTCTGTGGGCCAATTCCAGCCCATCAGGCAATTTAATCTGGTCTGCGGGCGCCCACCAATTAAGTGTACGCTGCCCAGCCAGTGCACCTCACTCCTACCCTCATGCGCAGAAGGACCTGACCCAGCCAGCGTGCAGCTTCCAAGTGGGGTTGCTGTTGCCACTGCTGCAGCCGATGGGGGAACCGGCTTAGCTTCCCTGGCATCCAGCGGCTCCACATCTCCCTGTTGCAGCGCTCACTCCAGGCAGGAGGTAGGGAAGCAGCGGGCGTGGGGGGAGCTGTGGTGGGGGGCGGGGAGCAGCAGTTGGGCAGGGGCAGGGAGCATGGGCTTGGGGCTGCCCGCACCCAGAGGGGTTGCAGGAGTGTGGAGTTTGGGTGGGCAGGGACCCCTGGGGTGATCATAGCTTGCATGGGTGCTGCCACCCAGCAGCGAGCAGCTCTGGTCAGAGTTGCATATGATGGCAAGGAACGCAGCCAGATCCTGAGAGATAATGAAGCTCTCTTAGTGTGGCCAATGTTGAGTAGAGGTTGTACTGCAGTCCCTGGAAACCACTAAGCATCTGCTGGAATGTGGCCTAGGTACCCTGCTTCTGTGATACCAAATCAAGGTTTCCAAGTACAGGAACCTACTTCCAACCCACTATGACGGTTAACCATTTTTTTTTAGAGTATCATGTTCATTTGTTAGTAAGAATAAGTTCTGCAGATGATACAGTATTACCTTTATGATCACAAAAAGTAATGATAGCTGAATTCTCCTCAGGTAACTGCTGAACATCTGATACTGGCCCCCCTCCTCTCTTTGGGCTTTCAAAGTAGACTGTGAGATAAGCTTTAGAAACATTAGGTGGCACATTTTCAGCCTTGATGCTCCGTGTCAGTTCAAGAGGCCTGACAGTAATGTTTAATTCCTGGGTCGTCTTGTGTTGGGTACATTTATCCACAAACGCCGTGATATCTGAAAGCAGAAAAGTTAATAACTCAACATTTTTATGGCACTATTGTAATGCTCGAGTGTGATTTCTAAAATGCTGCTGAATGTGGTTTGGTTCGATGCATGCGTTCAGTGAAACCATCTTCCATGCTGGGGATGTTTCCTAGTGTTAATTGCACAAGTTTTGTAACAGTGAGTTCCTTAGCTACTTATGCATTGTATAACAACATATTTCTTGTAATCAGTTTTAAATTAGATGTCTTTCAGTTTTGCTGGCTGACCCTTCATTCTTGTAACATAATCAAAGATTAATAGGTAAAGAGAAGATAAATAGATAAAAAAACCCATTTATCTTCTATATTTGCAGTCTCTCTGACTCAATTCCTCTTATACATACCTTCTGTTTTAAACAAAGTGCTTCTAATCTTAATCTCTTATCATTTTGAAGTCTTTCTATAGATCTACCATCATAATTTTAAAAATCCACCACTGGAACTGATCCGCTTACATTTGCCTCTAAGATGGGGTGACCAGAATAGACATGGTATTCAACGTGAAGTCACCTTCATTTTAAAAAGCATGGAGGATAATATTTTCTGTTTTCTTTTCCATCAGATTCTTTCTACAGTCTAAAATGTTGACTATCTTGTTGACTCACATACACACCAAGCAGATGTCTACAGGGAGCTACCCACAGTATGACCTACATCTCTCTCCTGCAACTGCAGTCAATTTAAATCCTAATTCAGCATTCAAAATTTATTTGGTGGGACTGATTGAAACTGTTAAAGCTACCTTTTAAAACATTTGTGAAAATAACTGGCAGCGTGTGTTTTGTCTTACCGATACTTTTTACGAAGGTAACTACGGCAACATCTATTTCAGGTATCCTTTCCACGCTGAAGTCTTCGTCTTCTAAGCCGCTGATAGTCTCCAACACCAAAATTAGCATATGCTGTGTGATAGATGCTTTTACATTTTCAAGTACAACCTGAGATGAAGTTGTTTCAAACTGTTTCTGAATGTTCCCCACATGGATAGCTTTCTCCTGGAGTCTGCTATCCTGTACTGGATCTTCCTTTCTTTGTCCATCTAATTTGAGAGAAATACAAACAAATCTGTGTTGCATACCTGTACACAATCAGTATACCATATTTACTAGCATCACACCCACACACACACACACACACCCCTTTCCCCAAAGAACAGCCTTCCAAAACTGAGGCATGTGTTTTAAGCAGGGAAGCTGATTTTGGGCTTGGAATAGCAGCAGTGGCATTTCTATTCAGCATCACTGAGGGAGTCAATTGAGTCTATCGCTTATTAGACTCTCCTGCTAATTGTTCTTCACAACAGGTAGAAATGATCTCTCCTTTTTAATGATCTTGATGTTCCACTAATCAAGCTATCCTTTTCCCATCAGAATTTTGCTGGCCCTGGTCTCTCTTCTCCCATTTCACAGCTTTGTCAACTGTCATTAGCTCTTTCCAAAATCCTAGCTTGGCCTGTGGACTCTAGTCTTTAGAGTTTTAGCTTTTGGCGAATAGCCAAGAAGTTCTGTCAATCTGCTATAAAAGGGTTTAAAAATGTAGCTTTTACCTGAGCAGGAAAGAAAGTGAGAGAGGACCTAAAGATTAGGCTCTGTCCCTGCTGTATGCAGCTGTAACTCTGGAAAACCATTTTTCCCTTCAGTCTGCCTTCTCCAAAGCAAGGTGCATGACTTATTTACAGGCATGAAGTATCCAAGAAAATACAACATTTCATGAGACAAATAAATTTGAGCAAACTCAGTATTATTTTGTCTGTTTCTTTTTATTTTCTAAATTGTCATCCCGTTTCTTTCTCTTAAAAGGCTTCTTGCCTTTTCTCTTTATTGAAACCATTAAATGACCAAACCGAGTCAGAATTCTTGGTTATGTTCCTCCATAAACAGAACATCAAAGGAAATGTATCTACAGAAAAAAATCACAGGCAAGACTAAGAGCCCATATATCCCATGTGAAAAAATGTAAAAGATATACAAAGATGAAAGAGTGCTGAGGCACAAAACATCATTCTAGATTTTTGGAGATTTTTATATATTGAGTAGATGCTAAATTTTAGTATGCACTGTTAGAAACAGGGAAGATACACAAAACACAGTATTAAATGAGCTTTCAAAGAGAGGAGGCTATACATTGCTGTATGATGTTGTCTGAAATACGACTGACTTTTACTTTCAGAGAAACCAAAAGTGCCTCTAAAAATAAACACCCAAAGGATTTCCTGATTAGCTAATTTCTTAATCTGAAGACTGTACATTTCCTTGTCACTGGTGATTAGTTTTTATGCGTAACATACTGTTCTCTAGTCCAGCACCTGGCAATCTTTTGGAGTTTGAGCTAGAACTGTAAGGACTGGGTCATAGGTGCTCTCGCCTACAGGTTGAGCCACTGGGGAAAGGCAGGAGCTAGAATTCAAGTTGCCAGATCCAAGGGAACAATCCAGTGGCAGAGTCCAAGTTACAGGCTAAATCAGGGTTCTACAGTCAGGGATCAAATGACCAAATCCAAGGGCAGGGTCCAGATCACAGGCCGTGTCAAGTTCCAGGGCCAGAGTTACCAGATACAAGGGGGATTTCCAAAAAGCCAGAGTCCAGAAATAGTGCTGAGCAGGGTCAGAACCAGAAAGCCAGAGAGCACCAGATCAGCAGAGTTCTTGGTGTTCTCTGTTTAAAAAATGCAAATTCTCTGATCAAAACAGCAAACTCTCTGATTAAAAACCCCCAAATTCGCGATTAAAATTATACACCACTATATATAGAGAGATCACTTGAACACAATGTTTCAGTGGCGATGCATAGGGGGTGCACGCGCACCCCGAGAGTGCTGGTGCACCCCCTGACAGCCAGTGTTCCCCGGTTAGGCGACAGGTGGGGGGGCAGGTGGGAGTGCTGGTGCCCTGTCTGCAAGCGCCGGCTGGGAGTGGGAGCGCCACAGCCACTTCCGGGAGTGCCACGGCCACTTCTTGGTCAATGCAATTGGCCACGGGGGGGACCCCCCTGGTTGCTGGGGGGGCATGTGCCCCCCCTAATTAAAGTGCCACCAGTCGCCCATGGGATGTTTTATTGATATATTTACAATTTTAAAGCAATTTGGGAGCCTACCAGTGCCCATCAGTATAATAAAGCAATTTAAAGCTATTTGGGTGTCTACAAGAGCCTACCACTACCCATTACTACAATAAAATACATTCTAAGTATCTATCTATAAATTTTGGTATTTGATTTGGCGTTTTTTATCAGGGAAAATCAGAGCTCCTCCTGTCCCCTTCACTCACCAAGACACAGGTCCAGGCCCCTCACTCCCAAGCCACCACCTCCCAGCCCTGCTGGTGCCCCTCACTCCCCACCCACAACCGCCTGCCCCTCCCAGGTCTGGTGGAGAGCCCCCCATCTGCCAGGGCTATAGGGACCAGGGACCTGGGGTCACAGCCCCCTACCCCCTGCCCCAGCTTGTGGGTCCCAACTGCCGCCCACAGCAGACAACAGCTGCTGCAGTGGAGCAGAGTGGAGCGTGGTGTCTCCCCGATGGGCAGTCCAGCAGGAGCAGAGCCCACGAGGAGGGTGCAGGCTGCCCGTCATGGGCTCAGGCTCCCCACCCTGTTGCCCTCCCCCCCGGGGCCTCCGCAGACCAAGTGGGACCTGGTGTGTCAGGGCAGAGCAAGGCTGGGCATTGGGGCCCCGCACCACCATGGCGAGGTTCCCCTTGCCCACTCAGCAACAGAAAGGGGCACAACTGTGCACTGCTGCCCCTGCTGCTGCTTGGCAGGCAGGGGGCACTTTGCCAAGGCAGTGCAGGGGCATGTGTCCCCCATGCCCCCACCAGAAGTGCATTCAGCGGTGGGGAGCCAGCCCCCTTACCCCCCAGATGAACCACCCACGGCCCCGTCCCACTTCCTGCCCGGGTCCTGCAGCTGCACGTTCTGGCCCCGAGCCCCAAGCCCCATGCACCATCTGGGCTGGGCAGCAGCCCCAGCCCTGCCCAACTCCCTCTGTCCCTCACTGTGGGGAGCCTCCACTCCCATCCCCATGCCACGCTTACCTGCAGAAGTTCCTCTCCAGCCTGCCTAGACGCCACATGCCACTGTGAGCGTGCACATGCACATGGCACCCCTGTGCCTGACCACCCTTCTCCCACTCCCCCCAGAACCCCTGCAGGCTGGACCTCTGCCCGCCTGCAGAGAGCTCTTTGCAAAAGTGGAAAATCCACGTGGTTCTCCATTAAAATGAAAAATCGGTGTTTTTCCTCACTTAAAGGGAAAATCTGCCTTTTTTCCCTGTTTTTCCAAGGGAAACAGAAAACCCGGATCCCTGCAGATCAGAGAGGCTAATCACAGCTGACCAGCAGTCTACTTCCACAGGTCACACTAAATGGGGAGACTGCTCTCCCCGGCAGCCAAACAGAAGACCCTAACAGTGGCCAACTGGTTCATTAGCTGGGAGAGCCTCAGGCAATTAGTAGAAGTATGTGTTAAACTGTAATGAGCCAAACGAGGATGTTTTGAACTGTAATGAGCCATACTGTGAGTCTTAAATCCACATCTGTCACTGTCCAGTCATGTTATGAATTTCTGTTGATATAATTTTTCATAATAACCTTTGTCATGTCCCGTTGTGGTTTTGTATTTTGCAGGCCACAAGATTTTCCACTTTAACCTAGCATAACAATTTGTGAATATACAACCAAACTGAATACAGCGGTATCAATGTCACCACGCCACAGAAGCAGGAAATGACACCGTGGAACTGCAAGGAGTACAAAGATGCCTCACATTTGATGCTGGTCTTCTCTGTCTACTGTTTTTATGCCAAGATTCCCTTGGAATAGGGGTGCACTGATAGAGATTTTGGGGGCCAATACCGATAGCCAATTTTTAAGGAGGCACATCAGCCGATACAGATCTGAGTACAATGAGTTTGACATCCCTGCCCTACAGAATTAAAGGTCATTATTGAAGGATGATTGTTACCTCAAGCCCCAATATTTTCATTTTATAGAGACTCATTTTGTTCATTTCTAGATGGTATTATGCATGGTACCTTACCTTGCTCTGGGGATCTGCTTGCTGACTCTAAAACCTAAAATTAAAAATGGTAGGAGAACATTAATAAATGGCCTCACACTTCCTCTTATTTCAAAGCTCTAGATTTGCTGGGTTAGGATTATACTACTTTACCTGTTCAGGACCTCCCTCTTTCCAAGACACATCCTCTTGAGTAGCACTTGGTGCTTCAAGCTGCTTGACAACCAGTGTTAATTTTCCTTCCTCTCCCAAGTCAAGCTCATGGGTCTTTCTTTGAAGAACTTGTTGCCTCACTAAAATACAAATAACAAAACACAGTTATAATCTCTGTATAAGGGATATGCGTCTCTGTGTATATGTTGCACTGCTGTCCTCTAAAACTAACCCACATGCTCCTTCCCACAAAATGTTTGTAAAAATTATAGGAACAAGAGGAGATTAGATAGGCATCTAGTCTTCAAGAGGAGGTTAGATAGGCATCTAGCTGGGGTCATCTAGCCCCAGCCCTCTTTCCTGCCTATGCAGGGGGTCGGACTCGATGATCTATTGAGGTCCCTTCCAACCCTAACATCTATGAATCTATGAAACAAAAGGCTAGTCATTAGAAAAAAACTTTAAAATCATGACACAAGCTGCACTTTGTTTAATTAGACCAGGTCATTACTTTCTATGCCCCTGTTTGCCAAGTAAGGCCAAATGGGAACCAATCAAGTCCTTATACAGTGAACGGCACTTCATCAGCCTCCTAGGTGGTAGATATACAAACTCATGGACTCCATATACACAGTGGAGTTCTGGCACGCTGCGACCGGCCGGACATCTGACACCCCAGGCACCTCGGCACTTTTACCTGCGCTGTTACATCCCCCACACAGCCTGTCCCTCCCCCCCGACGCCTCCATTTCCATTTTCACTGACTGGCTTTCTTGCCTGCATTGCAGGAGTGTCTTTCTTGCCTGCTTTGCAGCCCAGCCTCTGGCTTCTTTACTATTCCTTCCATCCAGGACCACCTGCAGGTAC